CCCCCACTTTGCCTATGGGGGTGTGTCAAACATTATATATGTTGGGTTTGTTAGGCTACAGTGGGTTAGCCTATATGGGGTACACAATTCTAGGGTTTGCTATTTGTACTGATCTCTCTGTTAGTTCAACCATTCCAGTCCGTTCATTCTGACAGTTGCCGCTCCGAGTAGCTGTAGATGGTGTTGCTTATAGGATCATAACGTAGATCAAATGTATCGTCTCTTGGTCCTGCGCTCGAAGCTGCTGACTCCATATCAGTTTTCAACTGAGCAGGGTTAGAAGGATTTATCCGAGGCCGATTCAGCTTCTCTGGGGCCTGGAACCTTCTCCTAAGTCAGTGCAGCTGTGTAGGCTTCACCGTGCTGCTGGGATAGAATATTAATTCCTCGGAACGTTCGACCCTGTTACCCATATTACCCGGTACCGGTTTAATTTCTGACTCTCCCTTAATAAAGGCTTGAAAACCACGAGAAGTAATATTCTTAGTTAAAGTATCTTTGTAGGATAACTTTAACGAATTCTTACTTGTCGGGGTGTACGGCTGGAGTTTCCCAGTCGGTGCAGAGTCTTGTTTCGCGGAGTCTCCATTTGTCTCGGCGTTTTCCCCTGGTGCCGGCTGGTCGTGACGTTTTAAATTCGCGCCATCATATTCTCCTTTTTTCGCCCTCTCCGAAGTTGCCACGTTGTCCGTTTTCTGCTTCGGGGGTGCCACACTGTTCTTGCCCTTCAGCTCCGCACGTGCTTTCTTCATTTTCCAACACGCCAAGATACGATGTCCTGTAGCGCCGCAAAACTCGCACGTCTCATTTTTTGCTAGCCGCTGCGTCGCATCGTCCTTGTCGTTCTCCATCGGGTCGGCAGTCGTGGGTGGTGCCAATCGCTCCATGCCACTATTTGGCTTGTTGCGTCGTGTTCCGTAGTAGCTACTGTTCAACGCGTCGAACTGTTCGATCAGTGCTGCGCCCACGTCTCTTCGCCTTGGACAAATCTATTGCTAATCCACTCTAGAGCTGGGCCTCGTAACAGTGTTGCTGCGAGCCGTATGCGCAATGCGTCTTGGTTGAGGGTCGTGCATCCAACGGCTTCGAAGAAATTTTCTAGTACAGCTACAAATCGACGGACGTCGCTCCCTTTCGCTCTAGGATCGATCGCGTATGGTCGCCTCGGCTTTACTGCTTCGAGCTCGAATGTAGCTGCTGCCGTTGTCGCAGGTACAATTATCGGTGTCGCCGTTGTCGCTGTAGAATTTCACTATTATAGCAGCTTGATCGAGCTCGGAAGCACGATTCCAACGCACCGAAGATTGAAGGAAACGGTCCACTGTAGCCAGAGATACACACAAACATAGCAGTGATAATGACTTAGATAATTTCTGGTTTGTGCTCTCTGGTTTTATACTAGGACGCAATACAAAAACAAAGCACACAAGAAAGTGTCGACCCGGGTCGCGCGCTGAATTTCGTCGACGCGAAATTCCGAGCCTTGAATTTCGCCGAGCGAATTCCATTGACTGGAATTCCGTAGACGAGAATTTCCGCGACCAGAATTCCGTCGACCACCGACTGTAACTCCCGTGCGAATTCCGTTGACTTCGACACTTCGCTGCCGAGTTTCAAACCGAACGCGACCCGAGATCGATTTCGCCAAAGTGTCCCCAATCTGTCCCCAAACTGTCCCCAATCTGTCCTGCCAAGACACTTTTGGAACACTTGAATCAAAAGATCTCCAGTTCGAAACTCAAGTGCAGCATAACCAGCCCCCTTAGCAGAAATTGTCCTGAATCTGTCCTGAGACACTTTCAGGACAGATTTGAAGGTCACGAGTTCGAATCCCAGCGCCGACATTTGTTGCTCATGGTAGCATTTCCTTCTAACACGCCCCCTTGCTGTCAGGAGCACGCTGGACCAGCCCGGCTGCTGCACAGCATCGGTTGAAGGCTGCCTTATCGAGCCGCTTTGTGAAGAAGTCCGCGGGCCGCGCCGTTGTTGGGATGTGCTGCAACACCAACTTCTTCATGCGCACCATGTCCTGCAGCCACATGTGGCGACGGTCCACATGCTTCATGCGCCCCTGCAGCCCGCCCGCCTGGCTGAGCTGCACCGCTGACATGTTGTCGACGTACAGGGTAGTGGGAACACCCTTCTTGAGCAACTGAAACTCCCACAGCAGGAACCTCAGCGTGCGCCCCTCCTTTCCTGCTTCCACCATAGCCACAAGCTCGCTCTCGGTGGAGGAGAGCTTGGTCGCACCCTGCAGCTTCTTGGCCTGCCGAGAAACGGCCGCTCAGCCAAGCTTGAAGAGGTAGCCTCCCGTAGACGACCTGTTCTCCTTGTCGCCCGCATCATCCGCATCTGCATACCCCACCAGAGTCAAGCTCTATGGTCCTCCCTTGAACAGCAGCCCCGTGTCTGGTGAGGCAGCCCAGTAGGAGAGTGTGCGGAAGAGCTCATGCCAATGCGCGTGTGTCCTGAGGTGTGCACCTGCTGCAAGACGGCTGCACGTAAACGAGAGGTCAGGACGGGTTGAGATGGCTGCAAACTGCACCATTCCGAGAATTGACAGGTATTCGGTCATGGTTCGGTCGGCAAATTGCCCGGCATACTGCTTGGCAAAGCTGGCGGAGGAGAGAGGAGTAATCGGCTGCTTCTTTGGTGGCGCCCCCTTAAAGAAGCGCTGCTGCACCTTTGCCACGTATGCATTCTGGTGCAGGAGGAGTGTCCTGTTGGGGCGGTCGCGCTCAATCTGCAGCCCCAGGTAGCGCTCCACTGGCTCCACCTCACGGAGCTGAAACGCCTTGGCCAGCAACTCCTTCAGGTCCTGCAGCAACTGCTTTTCTTCACTTGCCGCTAGCAGGTCATCCACGTAGATTAGCAGCCACACGCGCTTCCTGCACGCCCCATCCTTGTAGTATAGGGCCTGGTCCACCAGGCTCTTCCTATACCCCTCCACAAGGAGCACCTTGTCCAGCTCCTTGTACCACAGAAGGGGACTCTGCTTGAGTCCGTAAAGGCTCTTGTGCAGGAGGCACACCTTGCTGCTGCCGTCGGTGAAGTAGGGCGGCTGCTGCATGTAGATCTCGTGGTCGATCGTGCCATGAAGAAATGCATTCTTCACATCAAGCTGCAGCAAATCCAGGTCCATAGCTGCTGCGATTGAGAGGAGCACGCGAACGGTGGTGTAGCTGCCAACAGGAGCGTAGGTGTTGTCGTAGTCGACGCCGAAGCGCCGGCTAAAGCCCTTCGCCACGAGCCTGGCCTTGAATTTCTCCACGGTGCCATCAGGCCGCAGCTTCTTCTTCAGTAGCCACTTGACGCCGACTGTTTTGCGTCCTTCGGGCAGGTCGGCCAACGACCAAGTGCTTTGCTCATCAAGGCTCTCCATCTTCTTCATAGCAGCCCACCATTCCTTGCCTTCAAGTTTGGTCAACGCAGCTGCCAGGTCGAGGATGACACCTCCCCAAGCGCCTTCCTCCTCCTCATCCTCGTCCGGGTACTCCACTTCGTCATCGCTGTCCGTGTCGCAGTCGTCCTCAGCAAGGTACGCCATGTCGCACGGGTTCTCCTCCTCGTCCGTATCCTGAGCCGTCAGGGCTGATGGCTGAAACCGTACGGGTGGCACCCCCTTGTTAGGCCTGCTGGAGCGACGTGGGGGTTGTGGAATGGGCTGGATGGGAGGAGCTGCAAGTGAAGGCTCATGCGCATGGGCCACTGGCGGCTGCTCATTCACTGCGACCTCTCCTTCCTCCTCAAGAGCAGCCGTGTCGCCCCCGTCCTCAAGGGAACCATCCTCTGGTCCCACGGGCGCTGAATCAGCAATGGAGGGTGGACCGAGAGGAGGTGGTGCAGTAGGTGCCTTGCTGCCCAAAGGGCCCACCGAGCGATCAAGGGGTTGCTCGCCCCCTTGCACGGACGGCACCGGGACCACGATGACGGTACGTGGTGGTGGCAGATTCTACTCGGGGTTGTGGGGCTCAGGAAAGAGAGATGGGACTGAAGCAAAGGGTGGTGTGGGCTGGTCAGTCCCGTCACCCGCGCGTGCACGCCACTGCTGACACCGTTCAAGTGACAAATCCTCATAAAAACGTGCATCCTGGGTGATGACCATGAGCTTTGACTCAACATCCACCACACGCCATCCCTTGCTTTCCATGCTCATGCCCAAATGCATGCCCCAACGAGTCTTGCTTGCAAGCTTCCCCTCACGCTCATGCTCAGGAATGAGGTACTGCACCATGCACCCGAACACACGGACCATGGACACATCGGGCTTGACTTTGAACACCACCAAATGAGGGGTCACACCATGGGGCAGAGTGGACTGGTGCACACGGTTTACCACCCACAAGAACTGCTGGAAAGCAGTCAAAGTGCCACCAGTGAGCTTTCACCCCCATGTGCCCCAACATCACACGCATGCCCTCGGTTACCGTACGGTTGCGGCGTTCAGCCACACCGTTCTACTGGGGGGTCGATGGGCAAGAAAGTTGACGCAAGATCCCTCGTTGCTTCAGCAGCAGTAGGAACTCGTTCGACATAAAATCTCTTCCCCGGTCCGAACGCAACACCTTCAGCGTCATCCCGGTCTGACGTTCAGCTTCGGGGAGCCATTCCTTGAAGGCAGCAAGCGCATCGCTTTTCAGCTTCAACGTTGTCCCCCATGTGTACCGCGAGGCATGATTCATGAAAAGAATGTAGTACCTGCTGCCATCCATGGCTTGGGTCTGGAATGAACCGCACACGTCAGTATGGACCAACCCAAGAACCTGCTTCTCTCGCTTGTCGTGCAGCGGAAATGATTCACGAGTGAGTTTGGCTTCATGGCAGGAGGTGCACGGCATATCCTCACCTCCTTTCTCCAGGTCCATACCGAACACGCCACCGCTTGTAGCTGTCCGCTTCACCGCGTCGAAGTGGACGTGTCCAAGGCGAGCGTGCCACAGGTTGGGCGTTGCCTTGGAGCCTACCGCGTACGACTTGAGGCTGGCCGCTTTATCCTTAGCTTACGGCTTGCTTGACGCCACATCAGCAATCTCCTTCGCCGTGCCATTGCTTGCCGTTGCAGCCGCCGTGCCGTTGCTCGCCGCTCCAGCAGCCAGATCGTTGCATGCCGCTGCAGCCACCGTGCCGTTGCATGCCGCTGCAGCCGTTGCACCGTTCCTTGCTGGCCCCGGTTTCAGGTCAAGGCAGTGAAGGCGATGGCGGTATCGTGCCGTTGCAGCCACTTGACCTCCTGATGCGATGATGCGAGTGACACCTTCCTCGGTTTGCAGCTTTGCTCCCTTGTCCAAGAGCTGCCCAGGGGAGACCAAGTTGGCCTTCATTCCTGGCACAAAGAGGACATCATGTAGGGTCACACGCAAGCCGTTAGTGCCCTCCAGCAAAACCTCACCAACACCGGCAACTTCCTGCATTGAACCATCAAACCCTTTGACGTATTTCGTTGCAGATGGGTCACGGATCACCGTGAACCACTCCTTGCAGCTGGTCATGTGTTGGGAGCATCCCGAGTCAAGGAACCACAAGTCCTTGTCGTCGGCTAGCAGCTTTGCAGCCGAAAACGCGACGGTGAGCGCCACGCCCTTCCCGTCTCCTTCAGCAACGTTTGCGGCTGCCGCGGGCGTTACATCCTTCTTCTTGTTGGGGCACTTGGCAGCCATGTGCCCCTCCTCATTGCAGTTGTAGCAGCGCCCCTTGAAGGGGCCTCGCTTCTTCTCCCGCTTGCCATCCTTCTTCTTGTCCTTCTGCTCCTTCCCCACTTTTCCTTCCTTCCCGTTGACCCCCATTGTAGCCACGATCGTGTTGACAGCGCCCGAGAAAGCAGATGCATCGCTGGTGATCTGCTTGTAACTGTGTTCGATGGAGAGAGTCTGCTCCTCCATCAACACCTCGCTGCACACACGTTCCACCGTCATGTCAGGGCTGGAAATGTCGAGCTTGCGGCGAAGAAAACCGTACTCCGGTGGCAGACCCTTCAGCACGTGAGCGGCGAACGTGGCCATGTGGACCTCCTGTCCAATGGTCAGCAGCTCCGCTCGGATGGTGCGGGCCCTGTTGCAGTAGGATTCCGCCGTCTCATCATCTCCCTTCCTGAGTTGGGCTAGCTGGGTATAAAGTAGGGAAGCGTGGAGGGCATCACGAGCTTGATAGGTAGACAAGATGTATGCCCATGCCATCTGCCCGGCTTTCTCTTGCTGAGAGAAACCAGCAATATACATTCGGATGGGTGGGGAAACACAACGATTCAGCACCATGAATGCAAGCATTTGGCCCTTTGCGTACTCCCTTCACTGCAAGGGGTTGTTTGGGGCCGGGCTTGGTGCTGTCCCGTTGCAAAACTGCCACAAATCAGCGCATTGGAGCTGAGGTCGGATGGCGCTGACCCACGCGGTGAGGTCGTGCCTTCCCTCCAGCAGCGGTGTTATGGAGATATGCTCCACTCCAAACTTGAATTGACTGTAGCTCGTCCCGATCATTCCCGTGTCAATGGTCGGAGCAACAGCTCCTCCTCCAACGCCTACGGCAATTGGAGCCTCGTGCTCAGCTCCTCCTTCACCAGTTCCTTCTTGCTGGCCGCTCGCAGGTGCTTGCTCTGCCGCGCGCTCCCGAACCATGCGTAGTGGTCGTCCGTCCACAATGAGGTCGACCTCCTCATCACGAAAGTTAGGGTGGTGCTCACGAACAGACGCCTCCAGCTCCTCACGGGCATTCAGGCCCTCGGCGCTCATTAACCATTCCATCCGCGGTCACAGCGAGCGTCAACCACACCAACGTAGGAACGAAGTCACGGGAGGTCTGAATCAAGCCGCTAGTTGGATCGACGAAGATAACGCAGCTCTGACACCATGTAGAATTTCACTACTATAGCAGCTTGATAGAGCTCGGAAGCACGATTCCAACGCACCTAAGATTGCAGGAAATGGTCCACTATAGCCAGAGATACACACAAACATAGCAGTGATAATGACTTAGATAATTTATGGTTTGTGCTCTATGGTTCTAGGACGCAATACAAAAACAAAGCACACAAGAAATTCCGGGCCTTAAATTTCGCTGAGCGAATTCCATTGACTGGAATTCCGTAGACGAGAATTTCCGCGACCAGAATTCCGTCGACCACCGACTGTAACTCCCGTGCGAATTCCGTTGACTTCGACACTTCGCTGCCGAGTTTCAAACCGAACGCGACGACCTGAGATCGATTTCGCCAAAGTGTCCCCAATCTGTCCCCAAACTGTCCCCAATCTGTCCTGCCAAGACACTTTCGGGACACTTCAATCAAAAGATCTCCAGTTCGAAACTCAAGTGCAGCATAACCAGCCCCCTTAGCAGAAACTGTCCTGAATCTGTCCTGAGACACTTTCAGGACAGATTTGAAGGTCACGAGTTCGAATCCCAGCGCCGACATTTGTTGCTCATGGCAGCATTTCCTTCTAACAGTCGCTTCTGCTGCTACTGTGGCTACCGATTGGTTCGCAAGGAGTTTTTTGAGTCGTGGGAGCGCCACAAATACCTGCTTATGCTCAGCACGTAACTCCGCGATTTTCCCTATAAAGAAATCTCTATTTCCCTCCCTTTTGGTGATTTACAGAAAGAAGCGCGACGAAAATAATTGAATTATGGGTGCTGGTCGACTTACTGCGAGTCGAATCGACTGTCGCATCGACGAGCTCGAATTCTGTAAGTCGCACAAATCTCTCCTAGGTGAAATTCGCGTCCGATCTCGGCCGTTGAAGAAAAACTCGATCTGACGGTCGAAATTCCAACTTTTTTGGGCGAAATTCTCAGGGCCGTTGAGATTGAAATCGATCGAACGGTTGAAATTCCAACCTTTTCACCAATGAATATGAGGGGTGTTCAAAACCGAATCAAGGGGGACTTAAAAAAATCGTGCGGAACTGGTTTTACATACCCGTATCGGCGCTTTCGTCGTCGCCCCCGCGGTTTTTAAAGGCCGGAACTAAACGGTTGAAGACCTCGCGTGTAAACCCGCTCTGATCACTAAGTGTTAGAATCTGGTTCAGGAAAGATAGAATTATTGAATAATGCACCTGGGTACAAGGCGAGGCTATATATAGGCTCGACACAAAGGTAGTAACCCGGGTGTTACCAGAAGGTTCCACGGGTCGCGAAGCGTCCCGAACGGGTCCTTCCCGAATTCGGTAGAAGGCAATTCGGTGGCAACCGAAAAGCCTAGAATTCGGTGCACTCAACCTAGTTCGGTGCCTATAACTATAATAAATATAGTAAAAGCAACGAACCTAGGAAATCTAGCAAAAGCAAGCAAAATAAAGCTAAGCTAGATAATGCATAAGAAAGCATAATCAAGCTAGTAAATCATAGCAAAGCCGTCGTACTCTCACAGGTAGGCTGGTCATCAGATGGCGGTGAAAGACTTTGAAAATGCATATGAAAAGCAGAGGGGCTAGAGGCCACCCTTGGCAGACTCCAGAAACCACTGGAAACAAAGGCCAAGTGAAGTTGTTGACAGTGATCTGTGTTTGCGTGTGGGAATGCCCATCGAACGAAATTGGGGGGAAGGCCAATGTGGGAGAGACTTATAAATGAACTAGCTGTCGACCAGATTATAAGCTTTGCGGATATCAACTCTTGGTACCAACAGTTGAAGACTACAAGACGTAGCCCATTCAATAAAATCCAGTACGTCGACCTTTGATAAAGGCGGACTGGGTGAAGAATGTGGGTCAGAACCCGTTGAAGGCGGTTTGCAAGGCAAATGACCTAAGCCTTTTAGTTGGAATTCATGAGCGTGATTGGGAGAAGGTTTTTAACTAGCGATGTGTTGCCCTTTTAGGGAATGAGGACTTTGCGTCCCTGAAGCATGGAGGTCGGGAGAGACCCATATTGCCAAACGGACTGTATGTTTCTGTGGAGGGCAGGGGCAAGTATATCACTATGGATGCTCACAAGGACTACTGGCTATCAGAATTACTAGGTAAGAATGATTGAAAGGAGAGAGGGGTTGAACTAGCAGGCAGTTGAGTACAAATAGCAAACCCTAGATTGGGCTGTACTCGCTATAGAGTACCCCACTGCAGGCTAGACAATAATAGCATTCTGACACACCCCCATAGCCAAAGTGGGGTGTAATCAGCAGAGCAAGCAAAGCAGTACAAGCTCAGGGTGGATCACAATGTCACCACACATTCTGAGCACAAGTTCAAGAAGCAATAGTTTAAAGTTCACAGTTATGAGCAAAGCTAGAGGCAGTCACAGAGGGCAAGCGAGGAGGAGGAGGGCTGGCGAGAGGAGAGAAGATGAAAGGCGCCGACTGAAGCTGCAGACACACGGGCAACAGGAGCGGCGCGCACAGTGGCTACCGAGCGCACGAGGGCACCGGACTACGGGAGTATCTGGCTCCGCGGCTACGACGAGCACACACAGGAGCAACGGACCCACAGGCGACTGGCGAAGCAGGCTCGCTGGGCTACCGAAACGCGCGAGGGCATCCGGACTACTGGCGCTGCTGGCGTCACGACGGCTACCTCCACGCAATCTCCCCCGACCGTCCCACGCCCCTCTCACACACCCCCTGCTGACACCCTAGCTCCACTCCGACGGTACCCCCCTTAAACCCCAAACCCTAGGCTCCCACACACCACCCCCCTCAGCGGCAGCTGTAGCAGAGGGAGACGAGGGAGGAGGAGGAGCAGGGGGAGGAACTCACAACCGACACCCCCATAGCCGCCACCCCCACACTCTTCACCCCCAAACCCTAATTTAGGAGAACGGGCTGTAGGAGGGGTGAGGCGCCGGTAGAAGCACGGGGGACAGTGGAGAGGGCAGGAGCAGCGAGGAACGGGCCGCCCACGGGCCTGGTAGAGCCGCCCGAACCGCGCGCAGGCGGCCCGAGCCGCGCGCGGGCCTGGCGCTTCCCGTACGGGCCGCGCGCGTGCCTGGCGCAGCCCGTACGGGCCGCGCGCGGGCCTGGCGCAGCCCGTACGGGCCGCGCGCGGGCCTGGCGCAGCCCGTACGGGCCGCGCGCAGGCCTGGCGCAGCCCGTACGGGCCGCGTGCCGGGTGTACGGGCCGCGCGCAGGCCACGACGGGCGACGGGGGGCGACGCGCGGGTCCCCGTCGCCCGTCGCAGCGCCTCCCGGGGGCGACGTGCCGAGTGACGGGGCAGGAACCCGCCGCGCGCCTCGGGGCACACGGCGGGCAGAGAACCGCCGCGCGCCTCGGGGCGCACGGCGGGCAGAAAACCGCCGCGTGCCTCGGGGCGCACGGCGGGCTGAAAACCCTAGTTTCGACGCCGCGCGCCACGGGGCGCGCGGCGGACAGGGAGTAGCAGTAGCAGTAGCAGTAGCAGTAGCAGTAGCAGCGGAAGGCTTAGGTGGTGGGCCCACCCACAGGATCGACCCAGGAGGGTCGACCTGCTCTGATACCATCTCATAATCTCTTCTCTGTTCTATCTTTCGTACTACCATCTCGATATGGTAACAGAGCGTTCACGCTCCTGGCCTGTGGGCCCCACTGCTGCTTCCGCTGCCCTACTCTGTGTCGCGCGCCCCGTGGCGCGCGACCTTCACATTTTCATCCCGCCGCGCGCTCGGGGCGTGCGGCGGTTTTCTCCCCGCCGTGCGCACCGAGGCGCACGGCGGTTTCCTACCGTGGGGGACGCCCGCGGCCCCCCGATCCCGTCGCCCGCGGCCCTCCGGTCCCGTCGCCCGCGGCCCCGCGATCCCGTCGCCCTGGGGAGCCGCACGCGACCCCCCGCGGCCCCGTTTTCCCGTCGTGCCGCCCTGGGGAGCCGCGCGCGACCCCCCGCGGCCCCGATTTCCCGTCGTGCCGCCCTGGGGAGCCGCGCGCGACCCCCCGCGGCCCCGATTTCCCGTCGTGCCGCCCTGGGGAGCCGCGCGCGACCCCCCCGCGGCCCCGATTTCCCGTCGCGCCGCCCTGGGGAGCCGCGCGCGGCCCCTCGCTGCCCCGTGGTCGCGTTCTGGGGGCCGAGCGCCGTCCCCCTCGCCGTCCCCCGCGCTCCTTCCCCCGTTCCGCCCGTTTTTAGGGTTTGGGGGTGCGGAGTGTGGGGGTGGCAGCTCTGGGGGTGCCGTGTGTGTGCGCCGTCCCCTGCTCCTCCTCCTCCTCCGTCTCCCACTGCTGCAGCTGCCGCTGAGGGGGGTGGATGTGTGGGAGCCGAGGGTTAGGGTTTAAGTGGGGGTGGCGTGTGAGTGGGGCTAGGGATGCAGCAAAGGGGTGTGTGATAGGGGGGTGTGGGACTGTTAGGGGGGGGAGAGTGGAGGTCGCTGTCGTGTCGTCTGCAGCGCCTGTAGTCCGGAGCCGTCGTGCTCTCGGTAGCCCAGCGAGCCTGCTTCGCCAGTCGCCTGTGGGTCAGTTGCTCCTGTGTGTGCTCGTCGTAGCCGCGGAGCCAGATACTCCCGTAGTCCGGTGCCCTCGTGCGCTCGGTAGCCACTGTGCGCGCCGCTCCTGTTGCCCGTTGTGTCTGCAGCTTCGCCCATCGCCTGCAGCAGATCGCCCCCCACAGTTTCTCCTCCTCCTCACTTGCCCTCTGTGTTAGTCTCTAGCCTTTGCTTATCACTATGATCTACAGCTCTGAATGCTTGTTCTGCTGGCTGTACCCCACCTTGACTATGGGGGTGTGTCAGAACATAATGCTTGTCTAGTCTGTAGTGGGGTACTCAATAGTGAGTATAACCCTTTTGGGCTTGCTATTTGTACTCCGCTTCTTTCTAGTTCAACCACCTTTCCTCTAAAAAAAAAAA